AAATTAAAATGGAATTAAAAGGAACATTAGCTCTAATTGCATTATTCTTATTGTATTGGATAAATTGATAAAACTCTTTAGATACGAAAAATTTGCCCACTTTCCCCAAAAATAACTCATTTAATTGTATCTGCAATAGTTTAATTTATTGTTAAACTGTAAATAAAAATAGAGAATTCTATTTATTTAAAGTTACGTTACGTAGCTGTGAAAAAATAAGTATCCGTTTCTTATGCCGAGTCATTATTTTGAGTCAATAAAATGAAAAGAAAATCTCCATTAATTTTTAAAGTAATAATTCCATTTTATTTATCAATGTAAATGTAATCCATTTTCTATAAGATACATATATAGTATTTGTAAATGGTTTCTTTCCATATCTCTGCCTGGAAATATTTCAACGCAATTTCTTCAAAAATACTTTTAAATAACTATTCTTCTAATAAAATGAATATTCTTCAGTGAAAATGTGCCTTCTGCTTAAACGAAAACTTAATTGAGCAAATTAATCAGTAACTTCAGTTAAAGAAAAATTCTTAACTGGAAATTATTTAAAATCGTCTGCTTATCATCAAATCAAAAATCGTCTGCTGAACGTAATAAAACACGAGTAATTCTTTGAAATATCGTCTGACAATTTTTTTTTTTTTTTTTTTTTTTTGGTTGCTAACCGCTATATTTCAACTTTTTCGAGTTATTCTTTTAATCGAAAATCGTCTGCTTAACGTAATAAAACACGAGTAATTCTTTTAAATATCGTCTGATAAAAAAATTTTTTGGTTGCTAACCGCTATATTTCAACTTCTTCGAGTTATTCTTTCAGATGAAGATGTTCTGTTCTTAAAAAGAGAGATTCCATAAAACGTTTTTTTTTCTTCTTTTTTTAAAATAATAATAAAGTATGTTCTGATGAATTTTAGAACTGGATTAGAAAATTATTAGGACGTGTGCTGGATTGGAAAATGTATTTTTTTTTTTACTATGCGTAATATTCAGTCTGTCTTAGTATCAGTGGAATTCGTTGAAACAGAATTGTCTATGATAAATATCATACAATATCCTCACTCAAAAGAATTTGAAACTGGAGCTCTATTCATCTATAGATATCATGAGCAGGATATTCCATGTGCTAATAGAATCTTCTAAAGGTAAGCTTTGTAACTTTTATTCTTGATTTCTTTTTCATTCTCGAGGGACGTAGCTAATGAAATCAATGTTATTAAATGTAAATTTCTAATCTGTTGATAAATTTTGCAATTAAAAAGCATTCAGCTCTGAAATTCAAACAATCAAGTTTTAGTCGAGTTTTGCTTATCAAAGTCTTGAGCATACATGATAGTAAATGTTTGCCCCTACTTTTGATATTTAGAAATTTTACGAATATGTAAGGTGTTTCGTAAAGGTCGCCCTTAATATGTATTTTTAGAATCCTTATCAAAAAAGTATGTACGCTGTGGATCGCTTTCCTCTACTGTATCTTGTATTAATTCGTTATTCCAAATGTGAATACGTTTTTGATTTTATTTTGAGAATTCTAAAAATGCATATGAAGCGTGGGCTTTACGGAATACCCTGCACTTGTAAGAAGCTAACTGGAAAATTATCTTTAATGCTGTTATATTGAAAGAAAAAACAACTTTTTCTTCTCAAAAAATTCCTCACATTATTTTTTATTCAGAAATTTTTTCAAACTTCATAGCACAATTACTTATGCACCGTATTAATTACATTCTTGTCTCAGCCATAACATATCCGGTATCCTTTGAAATATTTCAATTTTTTGTTGCACACATTGTTTCTGGCGATGTGTACAGAGATAACGTATAATAGAGAATATATAGAGTGAAAAATTGGAGTGTGCAATCGATTTTTAAGATAAATAAAGCAGTTCGACATCAAATGTTATTTATGCATTAAATTATTAAAAACATATTTTGATTTTTATGCTTTTAACTTAATTTGGATTATTTTTTTGCTCTGTACTTTTATTAGGGGGGGGGGAATAATGTCGTTTAGGCGCATTAAATACAGGGTTGGCTTTTTGCCGGCAGAAGCTGGTTTTTGCCATGCCAGTGGCAGAAACTAGTTATAACGGGTAAAAACCGGCAGAAACGAAAAAAAAAAACGACGTCTACATTAGTTCTAGTAATTGCTTAATGACATTTTGTTTAAGTAAACTGAAAAATGTAACTCCATGTAACTGTAACAAACTTTTTAATTCATTGTTTGGAAATATATATTATTTTGTTTATAGTAAATATAAAGAATGTAGTATATCAAATATTTATATAAAACAAATCGGCCCCATTCCCTGAAAATTATTTATCCTGTCAAGTTTTGACAACAGCCCAAGCTGATACAGGGTGGTCCATTTTTAAAAAAATATGCAATAGATGAAAGTTTCACAAATCTTGCTTACTCTTTGATGGCAATGCCTGCTAGTTCTGCTGGACTTGACAGAATCTTCTCAAATTTCTTGTCCGTGCATAGCAAATTGAGAAATTGTTTAGGTTTAGAAACTGCATCAAAAGAATTATAACCTTTAATATTACTGTAATTTTTAATTACATTAAGCCAAGAAACACAATATCTTAAACAATGGATACTTATTTTTTGCAAATATTTGAGGCTCTAGAATCATTCCTTTACCTCTCACTAGCATTATTTCCTCATTTTATACATTAGTAAATAAATGACTAATTTATAAAGAACTGAAAAGCATAGCTAAAATTAATTAATTTTTGAAATCAGTTTGTTTAATATTCATATAAGGAAACAATTATTAATGATTCACTTCTTAAGAACTAATTTATATTAAAAATAGACAAGAGGGAATGATAAATATAAAACATCTTACCATTTGATGTATTCAACAGGCAAAGCTTCAGTGAGCAATCAGTAATGTTGTTCTATATTAATTGCAAATATTGAAGTTTTTATTAAACGAAGAAAACGATTACCGAAATTATTATTAATATTAAAAGAACGTGTGGTGATTTAGGAAGGTTAACATGGGAATGATGCAATACACCAGGGATTAACTTATCAATTATGTTATAGCAATACTTTTTTTTATAAGTAGGGGAGAGTGGGGTCAATTGCAACAGAGCAAAAATTTCGAGTGCCGGGTTCTAGATTTGGTTCCTAGGTGGCGCACAAGGTGTATTTAATAAATCTGCATGTACACCCCTGCTGGTAACGATTTTTATGTACTCTTGAAAGAGTTACATCACAAAAGATATTTTCACGCTACGTAAGTACTTTTTTTGGTATTAGAATATTATATTGTAACAAAGTAATTTTGTTTAAACAAATAAAAATTATTAACCGAGTATGTAAGTGGACACCTTAATTAACATTTCAATAAAAAAAAGATTAGTTTTGCTAATTAACTAGCATTGTTTTTAACAAATGAAGCTGAAATGGCGTCTTGGGGACGATTGTAACAATAAGTAAAGGGACGATTGTAACAGCTGAAAATAAATAATCTTATGTTTACAAACCATTACTTAACTCTTTAAGAACCACCAATAGTTTCCTATATCATTTATATTATGTTGCATGTGCATTATTTTATTTGTCACCTTTCACAGCATAAATTAAAATTTTTAACCCCTTAAAGTTAAAAGTTTAACCCTTTAGGTCTCTGCTCATTATTATTTTTACTCCTAAAATATCACTACTATTTTGATCAATAAAAAAATATATCACAACTATGATAATATGTATAATTAACTATGTTTTAGTTGAATTTATGAACTGTTACAATTGACCCCGTAAGTGGGGACAATTGTAACAAGTGCACGACTGTCAAAAATTGTTAATAACTAATATAATAACATTTAAAATAAGGTATTTATTTTTTTTTCTAGTAGAGGATAGTCTACTTTACTCGTCTGTCAATTAATACTAATAATATATTGGATTTTTTGTTAGTTAAAAATTGTTAATTAAAAAATGTTACAATTGACCCCACTCTCCCCTAGTTAAATATAAAATTGATTTTTTTGAATTATAGTAGTACTCAATATTCTAAAATGTAAATTATATATATTTTTTTAATCTTATTTAACAAAGAGAATAGCATATAGGAGGCAGTTCAAACATTACGTTAGCATTTTTTGGCAATTTCGGACATTAGCCCCTCCACCCTTGCTTACATTAATATTAGAACGGTCTACATGTAAACTTTATAGTAACATAAAATAAATAAAATTAAAAAATAATTTTATTTTTATTATTTTGTAAAAAAATTCTCCAGTCATAAAATAAGCATGAAGTACTCTCGAGTACTTGATTATGATTGTTTTGGGGAGAATTGAGGCATCAGTATTTTTCTATTTATTCATCGAAAAATTAATGAAGAACTTTATTGCGCGGAATGGATGTTAGGAAAGAAAAAATTGAAAATCTTAGTGGTTCATTAACTATCTTTTAGAGTTCAAAGATACGATTCTGATGTTTTTGAAACAAGTCTACAACATTGAAGCACTTTTGGGTGGGGGGGGGGATNGGGGGGGGGGGGGATTAGGTGATGGCCTTCTTATATATTCACAGAAAAAAGTGAAAAATATATAATAAAATATAATAATTTCTAAAATAAATATACGTATAAAACAGTAATAAAAATAAAGCGTCAGAATACTTGGAAAAAAAAGCTCAGGTTAGATCTTGGCTACTGAACCACATCAAGACCTACAATTTAAAATGAAAAATAAGAGGCTTCAAAAATAAGATAATTCAAAAGCCGTTACGTTCATTTTACTCTTCTAGATCAAATAATACTGTAATTACGTCATAAAGAGGTGGAACAATTACTTTTTATGTTTTTCGTAAAACAACAGAGGCATAAAATGAACTACTATTTTTTTTATATTTTTTACCAAGCACTGATGCGAAGACTACTTTTGAGTTTTGGTTTCGGTGACGCACGTTTCTATTTGTACGGCTTTAGTTGAGTGATGCCACGAAATCTGTCTGACACACCCCTAGCTCCGCCTCTTAAACTGTTACTCCGCCTACAAAGATTTGAAGACAAACATGCTTGAAACGATCTATCTTCAAAATAATTTCTCCCCGCCAGAAGGAATAGGTAATGTCGAAACGATTCAGTGTGATTTTGGACTTGATGTGATTTTATATTCAGTGCACTAGCTGTGGTTTTTAAATACAATAATTGATATAACATCAGAATTGGTTATGGATGGCTTTTCTAATTTCATACCCTCAAAACAAGAGAACATCAAAACATCAGATACTCCAGAATATATGATAGATCGTAACATCATCGGTAAGTTCTTGCTTAAACCTTTTTTTTTGATTAGTATTGTTTAAAAAAAAACATAATGGAACAATATGCAAAAATGTTTTTAAAAAAACAACTCAATACTGGATTTTAATTGTTTACTAATATTTTTTGTATATTTATTTTTAACTAATATTTATGGCTTTAAACTGTTCATATCATTTAACTTGTTTATCGTGCATTTATTACTAAAATATATCTGAAAATTATTTGGATTATTATTAAGGAGTATTTGGATTACGGATGAAATATTACTGAAAATAGAAATTTTGTATTGAAAAAATAAAGTTTGCAAACTTGCTTTCATGCAAACCACACTCTTTTAAGCGACAATTCTGCAGAATAAATTTGGATTAGACGATTTTTTTCAATCGTATTTGTGACTAAGAAAATTTTATTTTGGGTGAAATTTTTTCCATTCTTTCTTTCTTTTTCTTTCTTTCTTTTCAATACTGGATTTTAATTATTTACTAATATTTTTTGTTGCTTTAAACTTATAATATCATTTAATTTGTTTATCGTGCATTTATTTCTAAAATATATCTGAAAATTATTTGGATTATTATTAAGGAATATTTGGATTACGGATGAAATATTACAGAAAATAGAAATTTTGTTAATAAAAAATAAAGCTTGCAAACTTGCTTTCTTCTAGCTAGCAAACCACACTCCTTTAAGCGAGTATTCTGCAGAATAAATTTGGATTAGACCATTTTTTTAATCGTATTAGTAACATATTATCATGTAACTAAGAAAAAAAAAATTTGGGCGAAATTTTTTCCATTCTTTTTTTTCTTTCCTTTATTAACGTAAACCAGATATAAGTTGTTCATCAGCAGAATGATTTTACACGTGTATGTTATTTATTTATTTTTTATGCGTCTTAAAAACTATGATATCTTAATTTATTCGTGTTCATTCGAGGCTGTATAATTTTGAATAAATATATAACTAGAAGTCGCTTCTGAGAATTATTTATGAAAACTAGTTTATTAATTCATGCATATTTAATAATTATGAAATCGTATAAAATTCAAAAAGAATTATTTGCTTAAACAATTAACGGATTTTTAAAAATGTAGTGAATGCAGCAATTTACTCTACAGTGTATCTGTAAAGTCAGTGCACTTTTCACCTGAGACCGGTCAAAAATGTATCATTACTTTACGCGCACATTGTATTTATTACACGATATTTTTCTTAATTCTATTTATTTATTTATTTTTTCTTCATAACGGATTTTAAATTTTCTGTGAAAATATTTTTGAATTATAATTTCTGTGGTTTGGTGTATTAAAAATTCATTTCAATACAAAAATGTCTCATATACTATTTTCTTATGAATTAATATTCTATGTATTTTATTTCCCTATAAAATAGACATTTAATTTTTGAATGATGTGAAAAGTTATAAATTTAATAGTATTGTTCTTTTAGTTTTGATCTTGCAATATTATCTTGCAGTAAATGTATTATCTTGCTACATTTACTACTAAGGTATTATCTAGCAGTAAATGTTCATATTTAATGGCAGTAGTATATTCTTTGAGCTCCATTATATACTAATCAATTACACTATAACTTCTAATGAATCACCTTTAAGTTTAAATTAAATAAACCTATGAAAATTATAGCCTGTTATTTGTTTTATAGATAATTAAGATAAAATTCGTTTGCCATTTTGGCCAAATAACTAATATTTGATAAAAATAAATTTTGGATTAACAATTTAGCAATTATAAAAATTTAATTACAAGAATGTGTGTGTGTAACTGCGAATCTAAAATTGTTAAAACAGTTTTCACATTAATTTTATATTAACGACCCAAAACTCAATATAATATGTGGATACTGAATAGTTGAGCAATAAGAAATTAAAATAAGGACTCTAGGGAAAATAAGTAAAAAGGAACTAAAATTAATTAATAATAGCGACACTCACACAGGGTTCATTGTGATATTCCTAAATTTATGATGTAAAATATTTTTTCTTTATTTGTCCTGAATTTGTGCTTTTTCGTCCTAAAATTTCAAATTTGTCTGTGTGTTTAGAACATTTTTTTTTCCACTAATGCGGTTTTTAAAATAATTGATTTGAAGAATTGAAAGATTTAGATTTTTGATTCATCTAATGTCTTTTTATTTTAACAACAACAAACAAAAACTTCATTGGGAACAAAAACAAACACATAAATACAAAGAATATATCTTCGTCGCCAAGAGGAAAATCCTGCCCAGGCGAGTAAGAAAGGTAACATAAGAAATTCATTTGGATTGGCAAAGACTGGTATAAAAAATCAAATGCTTCCTTTAAAGTGAAAAATAGAGATCTAAATCGTCAATGTTCATCACAAATTGAAATAAAGCGCGTTTAAAAGAAGAATATATTTGGATATTTTGAAACTGAAATGGTAATTTATAATATAATTTAGGTTATTAATATTGCTTGTAATTATCGCAAAATTCGATCGTCCAAACGTTGGGACCGACCACCAATTGGCTATGGTTCTAACACAGAGCATTTCGTTATCCATAGGATTCACTGATTCAAACATTTTGGGAATACCGTCATTTTATGAAAAGAAACACTCTTAACAATTATAACAGATAATGCAGTAATAAATAATGTAGTGTGAAGTTATGTAATTTCCCAATTATGTAATCATTTCTTTCATTTTTTTTTGTTGATAGATTCTAATCAATATTGCAGAATATCATTTGAAAGCCAAAACATATAATGCAATTACTCAAATATTCACTATTTCTCTTATGACAGCTGCTGGAATAGAAAGAATATTTTTTGATTTCTGATTAATTCAATGCTAACTGCAAAATCATTTCAAACTGAATAGTTTGCTAAGTTTATATATTTCAATAATAAGAAACACACTCCTGATAGGAGTAAGATAGACAGGGTGCGTAGCGTTTTTAAAAAGTGCTTAAAGGTGCTTATTTTCGATTTTCGTTTTTTAAAAGCCCTTAAAGGTGCTTTTTTCATTGGGTGTTTTTAAAAAGTGCTTAATTTTCCCTTTTTCAAAATGAGATTTTTCCTTTACTATGTTGATTTTCGCTTCGAATTATGCAAAAAGACAACAGTTCGCATTGTTCTTTCTGCTCAACGTTTTCATAATTAATTCAACCCCAATCTATTTCGGCTTTATAGCCAGTCCGTAGCGTATGAAAACGCTATTCGTTTTAAATAATTCAAAATTTCATGATTTTTGACAATTGACAAAAACAATGCCAAATTTTTTTTTTGTTGATATGACTTAGTTAAAACAAGATAAAACCGTCGATTGTCAAAATCTTTCCAACCCTGCCTAATTTTGATATTTTTTTGAAGTGCTTAAAAATATTTTTTGAGTGCCTGAAAAGTGCTTTAAATGTGCTTATTTTTTGTTGAATTATTTGGCTACTCACCCTGATAGACTTCTGATCTTTTAAATTTTTAGCTTCATGAAATTACATGGCTCTTATCAGGTTAAATTAAAATTTTACATTTCAATGAGTACAGAAAATGTATTTTATTTAATATTTATAAATCTTAGTTTTGTTTGCTAATATTTTATTTGATAATTTTTTTTTAATTAAATAAGAAAGATTGAATTATGTAGTAACCATATTTATTTATGAAATGTGAATGCATTTTGCATGCATTGGTTGTTATTGATGTGTTTATTTATTCCTACTTAATTATCAATTAAATTTAATGAGCATTTCTGAGTTTTCATTAAAATCTTAAACTATATAACTTATATTTTGTAAAAAACAAATGTTTAAATTTTTTAAGATCTTTTTTTATTTCATTCATTTCAAAAGCAAAGTGTATAATAAAGATAAAAGTTGACAATTATTTGTACATAGTAAAGCATTAAGAATTCATACATTGAAAAATGAAAATGAGCATATCTGCAGCGAACAGATGAGTGCATTTCATTTCATGAATGATTGATTACAATGCTTCTAGAAATTTCACCCATTAACTTTTTAAAGCAAATTGTGCGCTTATTTATAATTTTAAACTGATCACATAACTTATTAGCTTTACATTTTACCAAGAATCATTTCAGTTACTTCTTTATTATGTAATTTATTTTACAATAAAAAAAAGACTGAAATAGTTATTCTCATAATCATTTCTTTTATTAATCTCTTTGACAATAATCAAACAATACTTTTTCATTGTGTAATATATCTTATATTTATATTTATTATATATAAGTATGCATGTAGAGTATACTTCAGACGAAATTGAGTCTTTTCATGAAAAAAACCCTCTTATCTTCGAGCTAAATTGAATTTTTTCTCGAAAAACCCACGTGGGTAGAGTTTTTTTCTTTTCTTTTTTTTAAATTCCGAATTTTGCAAACCATGATTCGTTATGGGATTTCCCTTTTTATTCATTTAATTTTTTTGCCACTGCAAAGCAACTATCACTTCCTTTATAGAACATTTTTTTAATGTTCCATTTTCTTTCCTGATATTCGAAATCAGCATTATATGGTGAGGGTTCTACCCTGTTTTACCCCTAGAAGAGAGGTTACAATACTTAATGTACAGATCTTGGGCTTCATAAGTCATCCATATATATTTGTAATCAGTTTTCTGCGTGAACAAACGAATATTTTTATTTTTTATCAAGCACTAAATTACGAAAATACAATTTGCAGAATTGCATTTCAAGTGAAGTTCTAAGTTAAAACTAATCATAAAAACAATGTCAATTTGCGATTAATGGAATAAATATATAATATATTTAATTTCCTAATAACTTACACATAGTTTCCTATGGGATTATTGCAACAAAAATGATGAATATTAATATCACGTTTTCTGTAAGTATTGTTTACAATTTGATATTAGATAATTTTTAAGGAGAACGAAAATTTAAAATTTTTTATGGATGTTTTTAAAAGTTTTAAAGACTTTATTAAAAGTTATATAATCTAATGAATTTTATTTGGTTATAAGACACCGATGCTAAC